TTACTTTGCTTCATTTCTGTCTATCCATTTCATGTGTGCTTAGTCACTCAGTCATGCCTGACACTTTGCGAAACCATGTACTGTAGCCCGTCAGGCTCCTCTGTCCATGGGATTCTCCAGGCAAGAATACTGGAGTGGGTTGCCAGTCCCTTCTCCAGGGGATCTTTCTAACCCAGGGATCAAACCCGGGGTCTCCTGCCCTGCAGGTGGATTCTTTACCAACTGAGCTACCTGGGAAGGCTCTTTTTTTTTTTTTTTTTGGTGCACAAAAGTAAATTGCAGACATTAGAATATCTCCTAAATACCTCAGCAAGCTGATGAAATCTACAAATACGTACAGTTTCCGAGTTCTGACAGGTAAATATAATCATGTAACTTATTCTTATGAACACATAGAACATTACCCTATGAGCCATTTTTGTGCAGAAATATGACTGCTTTATTTTTAAAAAAAGTTCACAAGCGAAAAAAAAAAAACACTTGCTGGCAACACTGCTTATTATTTTCTCTAAAGTGGCCTGTTAGTAACTTTACCAAAAGGTACCAGCTCTCTTAGTATGCTGGAAGAGGCAACAGAATTATATGTGAAACTGAGATGGTCACCTAAGAAATTCATGTTAGAATGGGGTTCAAACTACAAACATATCTGCCTCCTAATTTTGGGAATATGTTTTATTGGAATATAGATCCTCATTCATTTATGTACTGTCTCTTGCTAGTTTTGTACTATGATGGATGGTACAGTGAATTAATTATGACAGACAAAACGCTCTGCAAAGCCTGAAATACTTAGCTTTGGCTCTTTATAGAAAAAGTCTGCCCACCTCTGCTCCAGAAGATAACTTGGTATCTTTGTTTCACATAATTAATGAAATGAATAAACACATACCAATAGAACATAAAATCAAAAAGTTAAGATCAAAGCTTAAAGTTGCCAACATCGCCTTCTAAGAGTCAGAAGTTCTGTATTATTAATCACAGTGGGTATGTATGTGGGGTGGGGTGTAGTGAAGAAAAGGATATAAATATAAGTGTTTTATAAATAAAAATATAATATAAGCCAAAAAGTTTTCTTAATAAGAGACAGAACACAGTTTTATTCAATAACGTAATAAATACTTAAAAAAGAGAACCCAACTTCCTATTTTAGTCGGACGAGAGGTTAGAAGGAAGAAAAGCAGCGTGGGGTGAGAGATGAGGATACTAGGTGCAACACACTCTGCCATGGGTGGGGTGGAAGCAGGAAAACACAAAAAAGAAAGAAGGCTACAGGGAAAATAGGATCCAACACAGTGCCTGGCACAAAATAGATGATTAATATGTGAAAATTATAAATAATGACAATATAATAATAAATAATGACAATGGGACTAAATTAAAAGTCCTTTGTCACTTATTCTGTAGTGTTTAACTGGGTTGCAGGCTTTAAAATCAGTTATCACATGGCCCTTTGAAATTCTATCTAGTTGAGTAGTCTTCATGGTTTACTTGAAATCTTGGACTTCCTAAGAATGTGAGGCAGACACAGAAGGAGCCCTCCCCAGGGCTGGATAAAATCCAAAGGAGGACAGTCTGGTCTGTGTTTAAAGGTTATAAATATTTAGTTTCTTTATCTGAAATATCTCATTCCTGCAGAAGGTCACAGCAGACGGTAATCCTACATAAAATGATCAGCTAAAATAAATCAGAGCATTGTAGAACACATACTATTAATACTTCAGGTCACTGCTCTTTTCTTCTGGGAATAATAAACATTTCCTAAATTGTACAGAAACCATTTTTACCACGGGTTAAGGGTTCTAGCATGCTAGGAAGAGACTGCTCAGTAACCCGGAGAACAAGCTAAGAAGGAAAAGGAGATCTTTAACGACAGAGGCTTGTGTTTAAGAAGTACATAAATATAGCAGTAATTCTTAAACTTTAGAATCACCTGCAGGGCCTGTTAAAGCGAAGATTATTGGTTCCCAGCCCAAGTTTCTGATTCAGTGGGTCTGGGGTGAGGCTAACATTGCCAGGAAAAATAGAAGATGCTCAGTTAAATCTGGATTGTAGATAAACAACAAATAATTTTTTGGTCTAAGTATGTCTCAAATAATGCAAATCTTTTTATTTCATTTTGTGTTAGATGCAAATATCTGGTTTTTATTCTGTGTGCTAATCTAACTCTGTGTTAGAATTTGCATTTCTAACAAGTTTCTGAGTGATACTGATGCTGCTAGTCTGGACCTTACTTTGAGAACCACTGATACACAGGATATTATGTCATCATCAAGAAGGAAAAGTTAGGGCCAGGGATGAGTGGATTAGGGAAGGATTCTTGGAGGAAAGGGCACAAGATAGTCATTACGGATGCCAAGAAGCTAGCCAGGAGGAGGATACTTCAGCCGTGAGGAAAAGAAGGGTAATATGAAAACTTGACATTTAAAGGAAACCACAACCAGCCTGATGCTGCTGGTGCACAAAGCTTAATGCAGGCAGTGGGAGGTAAGACTAAAAGGGCAGCCACGGTCCAGAGAGCACAAGGACCTTATATACCACGTTAAGCACCTGGAGTTTACACTGAAAGACCATCACTGTAAGTGATGGGGGTTATGGAAGGGTTTTAAACAGAGCAGAGACCCCATCAGATATGTATTTCTAGAAGGATCACTTAATTGGAGAATCAGAGCACTGTGATTATTTGTTAAGGAGTAACTGAAATGCAGTTAAGATATTTATAGACGTCATTTTAATCTAATTCTGCACAGACAAAAAGAAGGAAAGGAAATAAAACAATACTTAATTCATGTCTTCTTTTAAACCAATCCCAAATCTCTAAGACTAAAGCTTAACTAAGAAGAGAATTATGAAAAATTTTTTAAAAGATACTGGTAACTGAGCTCTCACTGAAGTCAAAAGGACACCTAAATTTGAAAGATACCAAGTAAAAATGGTTATAAAACTGTAGTTGTTGAAAGTATCTTTTTAAAGTCTTAATCTGATGTGTAATATGTTTTAAAATAAGATTTAAAAATAATTGTTGATATAACAGTGCTCATGTTAATTTAAAAAAAAGGACTTTTAAAAACAAAATACAAACAAAAAAGTAACCTGCTATCTTATGCCAGTTTTCTATTTCTGTTCTTAAACATGGTTAGGAGCTTTTCAACCTGTCAGAAACAAAATACAACACAATGAAGATGTCCAGACTTAAGGCAGAGACAAGACTGTACTAGGGGTTAGAAATTCCGGAGGCCAATTCTATTTTACCACTGAGTAAAATTCTCCATCAAATTCTCTTAAATGTAAAATGAATTAGCACAGATAATCTGCAGAGAAGCATCCCCTTTTATTACCAATGTCTAATACGAGCAAAGAACACCTTCACCTATTTTCAGACAATATTTAAGTACACAAATGTGTATTTAAAAGCTATTAAAATATTCTTGGCTTAATCAAAGTCCCTTGGCTAAGATGCCAAAGGTCCTGAAAGACCATCTGGCAAAAGGAGTATTCCTTTAAGTGTTCTTTTGGAATATGCACTATAGCACCAAACCTATACTAAAAAGATACCTAAAGTGCTGCCCTGGAATGACACCTGTTTTCATTGTACATTCATAATACAAAACCCAGGATGAATCAGTTTTGCAATTTTAGGGAAAAATTAACTGGTCCATACTTCGTTTTTCTTTATGCAAAATGGAGCTAATCAATAATTAACAAAAGTTAAAATATAACATACATTGGCCATAAAGTCTGCAGCACTTAGAGACCTCTGGATGAAAGTTAAGAGCCAAGTTTTATTAGCCACAAAGGGTAGGTTGGCTAAGAAGTGTGGGCCAGAAGCACTCGACAAATAACTACTGCAAAGCTGCCCCGTTCTACCATTCCAGGGCTATATATTAACTTGTTTCCTCTAAGTGGGCAGGTGAGGTCTTTTGTGGCGATCAAAGCCGGCTGCTGTCACCCACTCTTTGAAAAGCTTGACTTCCTCCAAGCACTGTGGAGCAATCAGGACCCACTGAAGCCGTACCTGTAATCGCAGAGCTTGGGCTGGTTGCCGCACTGTTGCTTGCAAACTACACAGTAACTGCACAGGGGGACGTTTCCCCGGATCCAGTGGTGGGGCATGGCGTCCAAGGCTTTGCTGTCACTCTTGAGCATGATCTCCTTGCAGGGGAAGCGCTTGTCGGCCTTCTTGAGGCAGCCCTCGTCCACGCGCAGCCCACAGCAGTCGCAGAAGGCGCCCTGCAGGATGTGCTGCGCGCACACACAGCAGTAGGTGGGCTGGCTGAACAGGTCCGTGTCGCGCCAGCCGTGCTTGCTCTTGCGGAAGATGTCCCTGCGGTGCAGCTGCCGGCGCGACCGCTGGACGCTGCACCACAAGGTGATGAGCACGGGCAGCAGGACCGAACACAGCGTCCACAGGACTAGGTGCCCGTCCGCAAACGGGCTGGCGGGGGGCGCCGGCCGCTCCTGGCCTTCCATCTCCTCCAAGGACGGCGTCTGACTGGGAGAGACGCGGGTGGGTCCCCCACGGGCTCGCTGTCCCCCTGCCGCCCCCCTCCCTGTCTGTCCAAGTGGCCCCGCTCGCCCCGCCTTGCCCACGGTCGGACCCCGGAGCCTCAGGGTCGCCGACCCGCCTCGCCGAGGGGGCGGCGCCCGGGGCCGTGACGCTCCCCTCCCCCGCCCAGTCCTCTCCAGGCCGCGGGGAGGGGGGCGACCCCACTGTGGAGGCCGCTCCCCACGAAGGCGGCGCGGCGCCCCTGCTTGGGGCGCTGTGGCGCACGGGCCGCGCCCGCAGCCGTTAACCCAGGCCCGGCTCAAGCGCGCCTCGGGGGCTCAGGGCCCCACGAGCCCGCCCACCGCGCGGCCTCAGCGACTAGGGTGCCCTCCCCGCCGGCGCGCCCGGCCTACCTCGTGTGGGGCTGGGGGTTCGGCTCCGGGGCCCAGGCCTCGGGCCTTGCTGTCGCCCTCGCGTAGCCGCGAGGCCCGCCGGGCGTGCGGACTCCGCGGGAGAGGCCGGCGCCGCCGCGGTCGCGGGTTATGAGGCGGGGCCTCAGCCGGAGCCCCTGGGCTACAAGGAGGTGTGAGGTGCGCCCGCGAAGCCGCGGGGCCTGACGGGGCGGTGCCTGACGGGGCGGGGCTAGGTCGGGGGCGGGCCTCGGCTGGAGCGCCGGGGCTGAGGGGAGGTGTGAGGCGAGGCCGCGGGGCCTGAAGGGGCGGGGCCTCGCGGACAGGGCGGGGCTAGATCGAGGGCGGGCCTGTGGGCGGGGCTTAGGGAGGAGAGTGGGCGGAGGAACAGTAGAGGGGGCCTTTGAGGTCTCCGAGCCTGTGATCACAGGGAGTTCTGGCGAGAATGTTTTGTTTACACAGTATACGTTTTTCTATGACCTGTAGCCTCACCCCTCCTCACTATCAGAAGAAGGTGGAACCTGGCACAGTTCTCAACACGGAAAGGGAGAAAAGTGGCAGTTTTGAGTGTGTTATGTACTGATTGAAGGGGACAATCCAAGTCAAAAATTGACGGCTGTTGCCTGCGCTCTTACTAGTTACTTATTAGACACACACTGGCTGCGGGCTCACTCTGTGCCAAGCACTGTGCGAGGAGCTCCAGCTCTCTTGGAGTGCCGGGACTGTTGAAACCTGCCTAACAAGGAGAATTTGGTAGCCTTGTTTAATGACTTACAGCACCGTAGCTTCCATCTTTGCACTTAGCAGGGGCCATGCTAAACTTATCATGCCCATTTTACAGATGAGGAAGGCCGAGGTACAGAGAAATATGTTTGATGTCATAAACTCAGTGTTGGGACTGAGATCGCCTTAACTTCGTCATTGAAATTCAGTTCAGTTCAGTCGCTTAGTCCTGTCCGACTCTTTGCGACCCCATGAACTGCAGCAAGCCAGGCCTCCCTGTCCATCACCAACTCCTGGAACCCACCCAAACTCATGTCATTGAGTTGGTGATGCCATCCAACCATCTCATCCTCTGTCATCCCCTTCTCCTCCTGCCCTCAATCTTTCCCAGCATCAGGGTCTTTTCCAATGAGTCAGCTCTTTGCATCAGGTGGCCAAAGTATTGGAGTTTCAGCTTCAGCATCAGTCCTTCCAATGAATATTCAGGACTGATTTCCTTTAGGATGGACTATACTAATTGAGGTCAAGAGAAATACTAATATTGTTTCCAATAGTTTTCCATTTTTATTTGGTTGCTATCTGGCCTTAATCTCTTCAGTCTAAGAATTGAAATCATAGGCCATTAAAGATCATTGATTTAAGCCAAGGAAACTAAATCAGAAGTCAGTTTTCCTAAACTGTAAGCTTCACGAGGGCAAGGACTACATCTGTTTTGTGCTTCCCTGGTGGCTCAGGTGGTAAAGAATCTGCCTGCAATGAAAGAGAGCTGGGTTCAATCCCTGGGTCAGGAAGATCTCCTGGAGAAGGGAATGGCAACTCACTCCAGTATTCTTGCCTGGAGAATTTCATGGAGAGAGGAGCCTGGAAGGCTACAGGCCATGGGGCCACAAAGGGTCAGACATGACTGAGCAACTAACACTTTCAACATTAATATTTCCAGTACCTGGCACAAAATTGGTACTCAGTTAATACTTACAAATAAATTAACAATCAGAAGAATAAGTAACCCAGTGGTTTTCAAACTTTTTAAAAGTGCATCTGAATCACCCAGNTCCTTTTCCTATTTGGAACCAGTCTGTTGTTCCATGTCCAGTTCTAACTGTTGCTTCCTGACCTGCATACAGGTTTCTCAAGAGGCAGGTCAGGTGGTCTGGTATTGAAGTTAGCTTCAATCTATGTGATCAAAGGGGCTTCCCTGGTGGCTCAGTGGCTTCTCGTGGAGCACAAGCTCTGGGGCACGCGGGCTTCAGTGCTTGCGGCACACGGACTCGGTTGCCCTGTGGCACGTGGGATCTTCCTGGATCAAAGAACGAATTGGTGTCCCTTGGATTGCGAGGTGAATTCTTAACCAGTGGACCACGAGGGAAACCCAAGGTGTGACCTTTGACCACCTCCATTGTCATCATCTAAAAATGTGGGTTCCCAGGTCTTCATCAGATCCCTGGATCAGAACTGTACTGGAGTTAGGAGTCTACCTTCTTAACAAGCTCCCCAGATAATTCTTTTATTTATTTATTCAAACTTTTGTTCGAATTGTGAAATGTATTAAATTGTGAAATGTATATAACGCACATACAAAAGATTTTTATAAAACATATGCACAGTCAAAAAAATAATAAGCACATGTATACCCGCTATGTAGGTTACTGTATTGAACATTAAGAGCCTTTCCTGTGCCCACCTGATGGCTATGCCTCCTCCCCCATCGGGAAACTGTCATCCCATTCTCCATTCCTTGCTTTTCTTTATAGTTTTACCCTTGCTGAAGGTGTCTCTATGCAATATACTTTTGTTTAGAAAAACAAGCCCAAGCCTGGCGCTGTCAGGAAGTAGCAGTGAGGCCAGTAATACATGAGGGCTCCCAGGATGACAAGATATACTGAGCAGGGGCCGGGACAGAATTTGGGCTCAGTTTCTGCCCTGAGAAGATCCTACCTGGAGAAACCAGTGGCAGTGGGCTTGGGAAGATTGTTCAGCACCATGGGGGTCAGCTGGGCCGGGCTCTAGTTTGACTATCTGGAAAAATATGGCTGTGGAAGGGGATGCTTTGTAGGTTTGCTTCTCAGCTTGGTAAGACTTCCTTCAAGGTCTTAGAAGAAGGTCCAGATAGAATGCTGCTCATGGAGGAATGAGTATCTTTAGCTGATCCAGGCAATATACATGGTCATTAAAATAAACAGACCTGTCCCAGATAAACAGATAGTCTGTCCCAGGCTCACCCAGCTGCCTATCCTCAATGTGTCTCCGTATCATGATGCCGACCTGCACCACCTGTCCCCCGTGTCAGAACACAGAGGTCATCTTGGGATCCTCTTCACTGCCATCCTGTTTCCATCTTCTGTTTCCTGGGTCCTGTGACTTCCCCTTTCTTGGTGATTCTCTAGGTTTTGTGGAGCACATCCTTCAGTAGTTTTGAGAGCAAAGGTACCTGGGAAGCATATTTTTGAGTCCTTGCATGTTTACATATGTCTTTATTCCTCCTTCTATACCTGATTGTTTATCTGCATGTACAATTCCAAGTTGGAGAAATTTTCCTTCACACCACTGAAGACAGTGCTCCATTTCTGCTTTCTCTCAAGTGTTGCTGTAGAGATGTCAGTGTTGCTGATGGGCTTTCCTGGTGTCTCAGGAGGTAAAGAATCCGCCTGCCATGGCAGAAGACACTGGTTCAATCCCTGGGTCGGGAAGATCCCCTGGAGAAAGGAATGGCTACCCACTCCAGTATTCTTGCCTGGAGAATTCCATGGACAGAGGAGCCCAGCTGGCTATAGTCCATAGGGTCACAAAGAGTTGGACACGACTAAAGTGTTTAGCAAACACACACAATGGTAAAGCTTCTGGAGAATACAGAGCAAGAAAATATAACCAAATTTAGGAAACAGCATGAACTATCCTAAGGATCCTTCCTAAGNTAATATAGTGGGAATGTAGCCTTTTCAGATTGGCTTCTTTCATGTAGTAATGTGCATTTAAGTTTCCTCTGTGTCTTTTCATGGCTTGATAGCTTATTCCTTTTTAGTGCTAAGTAATAGCACTTTAAATTTAGGGCTAAGTAATTGTCTGGATGTGATCCTATAGTTTATTTACCCTGTAACCTACTGAAGGGCATCTTGGTAGCTTCTAGGTTTTGACAACTATGAGTGAAGCTCCTAGAGATATCTGAATGCAGGTTTTTGTGTGGGCATAAATTTACAACTCCTTTGGATAAAAGTCCTCTCTTTAATATTCTAAAAGACTTCCATAGCTTTATACTTGAATCTTTTTATTGAGTTTTTAATTTCTAAGAACTTTTTTGTTGGTTTTTTCAATGAATGTTCCTTTCCCACAGCATCCTATTCACACCTCCTGGGAGCAAAAGTTTTCTCTCATCTCTCCAAGGATACTGTGTGTGAGTGCTTCCTTCTCTTTTTGCATTGTCTGTGATTACCCCAAGTTGCTTTCTCCTGTAGCTTCTTTTGTCTTCATCTTCCACATCAGAGTCTTTCTTAGACATCTGATGACCCTCCTGGTGAGTCTTTGGCATCTTAAGATTTGAGAACCACGGCTACAGTGTCTCTTTATCCTTCAAGCTTGTCATCCCAACTGAAATCCCACAGAGAAAAACAGCACATATTTCAGTAATTTTTTTTCTCCAATAGAATTGGAGCTTTTCTGTTCTAGTTACAGGCCTTGCCCTTTTCCTGAATGAAATATGACAGTGTCCTTAGAGGTGGTTTCACGAGTTAGTCAGTCCACGCTCCATCCCTCGTGTGTTTATTTGTATTGTCTTACATTCCCATGCCTTTGCCAGGGCCGCGGTTGTTCCTGTTTAGTTAGGCTAGAAGGAGCTGGCACCGGCAGCCAGAGACCTGGTGAGACCTTGGCTGTCCTTACCTGCTGGGCAGATGTAAGTTGAAGTCGATGTCCTGGCCCAGAGCAGATATTACAGCCTGCTTGGAAAGGGCCCGTCCAAGGCCACGGTATTGCTGCTTCACAGAGGAGGGCACGTGTTTCTGCGGCAGTACTGAGGTTGTGAGAAGAGAAACCCAGGACGTGGGTTGCAGAGACAGCGGGGGAAGGTGGGAGGTGGGGAAAGCACCTCACACTTAAAAGGCGCCAGATCTTTTCTAAGTAAAGATGTACTTTTGTTTCAACAATATATAAAATGAACTTAATACATATTTGGTTAATCTCGTTATCATTTGGTCCTTAAATTTCTTTACAGCCTTTCTGCCATGTGTCTGAGAATGAGGAAGTTATACAAACATAAATGAGTGACTTCACAGAGGAGGAAGAATAACAATAACAACAGTGATAACAGTAGTTTCCAGGTATTAGTTTCATCTGTCAAGTACTTTATACATTATTTCTCTTTAAAGTCTCAAAACACGTTAGGAGGTAAGTTTTATTATAATTATTATTCCTGTTTTAAGATAATGAGCAGAAGGTGACTTGGATAGTATGGAACGTGCCCAGGGTCACACAGCTTTGGTGTGACACACGCAGTGTTTGGGAGCCAGGGTTCAAGCTCAGGTCTATGGAGGACTCCACAGCTCACAGTCTGGACCGTTGTACCACTCGGCCCACACAATAGGTATTCAGTCATTTTTGAATGAAGCCCTGGCAACCCCCAGTTATTAACTTGAACCCCAAAGCAACCAGCTCTGCTCATGCTGACCATCCCATTACATCCCTGACCAATTTTATTTTCTTGGGCTCTAAAATCTCTATAGACAGTGAGTGTAGCCACAAGATGGAAAGATATTGCTTCTTGGAAGGATAGCTATGACAAACCTAGACAGCGTGTTAAAAATCAGAGACTTCCAGAGACATCACTTTTCCGACAAAGGTGCATACAGTCAAACCTATGATTTTTCCAGCAGTCATGTATGGAGGCGAGAGTTGGACCGTGAAGAAGGCTGAGCACCAAAGGATTGATGCTTTCGAGTTGTGGTGCTGGAGAACACTTGTGAGGGTCCCTTGGACAGCAAGATCAAGCCAGTCAATCCAAAATGAAACCAACCCTGCATATTCATTGGAAGGACTGATGCTGAAGCTGAAGCTCCAGTACTTTGGCCACCTGATGTGAGGGGCTGACTTACTGGAAAAGACCCTGATGCTGGGAAAGATTGAAGGCAGGGGAAGAGGGCAGCGGAGGATAAGATAGGTTAGATAGCATCACTCAGGCAATGAACATGAATTTGAGCAAACTTCAGAAGGCAGTGAAGGACAGAGGAGCCTGGTGAGCTACAGATGGGGTTGAAAAGGGTTGGACACGACTTAGCGACCGAACAACAACAGCATCAGTTATCTGTTGTCAGAGTAATGCTACATAACAAACTGCTCCCAGCTCGTTCGTGCCAACTTCCTGACTCAGGGATCAAACCCGCGCCTCTTATATGTCTCCTGCTTTGGCAGGTGAGTTCTTTACCCCTAGCGCCACCTGGGAAGCCCGCTCCCTAATTCTGTGACTTGAAGTAACAATCATCCCCTGGTGGCTCAGACCGGAAAGAATCCGCCTGCAATGAGAAGATCTGAGTTTGATCCCTGGGTTGGGAAGACTCCCTGGAGGAGGACATGGCAACCCACTCCAGTATTCTTGCCCAGAGAATGTCATGGACGGAGGAGCCTGGCGGGCTACAGTCCAGGGGTCACAAAGAGTCGGACACGGCTGAGTAACTCAACACAACACAGTCTCCAGAGCCTGCAGATTGCTGGGAGGCTCTGCTACAGGCGGTGGTAGCTGGACGGCCGCTGAGCAAGGCTGGGCTGGGCTGGGTCTGCTGCCGGCCGCACATCGGGGCGGACGCTTTCCATGTGAGTTAATTCTGACACCTAGCTTGAAGGGTGGCAGCTGTCTGGGGAAAGCTCTTTTTGTATCAATGACTGCAAAATGCAAGAGGGCACACTAAACTACACAAACACATTTCCTGCCTCTGTTTGCGCCACGTCTGCTACCCTCCCACTGTCCAGAGCCTATCACTTGGCTGGGCCCGAAGTTATACGGGACAGGACTGCAGAGTCCTATGGTTAAGAGCACAGATGTGCAGTGGCGATGGTGAAGAACTGATGTGAATAATTCAGTCTACCTACATCTGCTCATGCAGTGTGCCTGTAAATTAACGTGTGGCTGGGTACACATTCAGTTTATGGAGGTACTTTATGAATAGTGTACAAGAGTTATATGTACATGGTGAAAATATAGAGTTTGTAGTCTAGTGGGAAAGAGAGAAAAAAGAAAGAAAAACAGAGAAGAAAGAAAAAGAAAACAACTACGTAAGGAAATGTTAGTATTTAATTGGCTCTGGGCCTAGAGAACGTGGACACATTATAATTCTCTTGGGACTGGTTTAGCAGCTTTCTATAGTTGAAAAAAGAAAATTTGTTCTTTTGTTTCTGAAGTTTCTTTAACTCACAGCATTTGAAATCACGGTCTTATCCTATTGAAAGAGTCTGCGGTGTGATTATGTTGAGAGCTTGATGATGTTGGCTTTATCACCGATCCTTAAACTTTGAAGAATTTCTTTTTAAAAGAGATGGGAGGGCTTTCCTGATGACTCAGTGGGGGAATCGGCCTGCCAACGCAGGAGACATAGGTTCGCTCAATCCCTGGTCCGGGAAGATCCCACATGCCACGGAGCAACTAGGCCTACGCTCCACAACTATTTAGCTTGTGCTCTGGAGCCCAGAAACCCCTACGACTGAAGCCCATGCACCTTAGAGCCTGTGCTCCGCAACAAGAGAGGCCGTCACAATGAGAAGCCCTCGCATCACAACTAGAGAAAGGCCACAGGGCAACAAAGACCCAGCACAGCCAAAAATAAGTAAATACAAATTTATCAAAAAAAAAAAAGAGAGAAAGGAAACCGATACAAACGAAAATGTCAGTTATGTCAGGGTGCTGTGAATATGGGTGGTAGTATTCTTTCTTTAGGGGTTCCCTGGTGGCTCAGATGGTAAGGAATCTGCCTGCAATGTGGGAGACCCAGGTTCAATCCCTGGGTTGGGAAGATCTCCTGGAGGAGGAGAGGGCAATCCACTCCAGTGTTCTTGCCTAGAGAATCCCATGGACAGAGGAACCTGGCTGGTTACAGTCCACGGGGTCACAAAGAGTCTGACATGACTGAGTGACTAACCCTTTCCTTTTCCTATTCTTCCTTTATATATTCTTCAGTCAGTTCAGTTGCTCAGTCGTGTCCGACTCTTTGCAACCCCATGGACTGCAGCACGCCAGGCTTCCATCACCAACTTCCGGAGCTTGCTCAAACTCATGTCCATTGAGTCGGTGATGCCATCCAACCACCTCATCCTCTGTCACTCCCTTCTCCTCCTGCCTTCAATCTTTCCCAGCATCAGGGTCTTTTCCAATGAGTCAGCTCTTCGCATCAAGTGGCCAAAGTATTGTAGTTTCAGCTTCAGCATCAGTCCTTCCAATGAACACCCAGGACTGATCTCCTTTAGGATGGACTGGTTGGATCTCCTGCAGTCCCAGGGTCTCTCAAGAGTCTTCTCCAACACCACAGTTCAAAAGCATCAATTCTTCGGCGCTCAGCCTTCTTTACGGTCCAACTCTCACATCCATAGATGACTACTGGAGAAACCATTCTTAAATGTTGTCATGCCTCAGTATCTGCTGAGCGCCTTCAGATCAGTTAAAAAGGTAGGAAACAGTCTGAGGCTCTGCAGCTCCATCTCTCTCCACCTCCCACGGATTCTCTGTTGCTGTTGGCACCTTACCGAACAATGAACCTTGAGTATCTTTCCCCTGATCTTGGTTGTCCCAGGTTCTTCTCTCTACTCTGCCACCTTGTGGATTTTTGGGGAACTGCGCCTTCTGCTGTGAGACCTGGTGACTCACCTAACTGATGCTCCCAGTCTCCCTGGAAATGATCATAGGCAGATAGAAGGAGATTCTCCCCACCAGAATGACACAAGATTATCTTGCTCTTTCAGTTTTGCCATTGTTCCCTTTTGTGAGATGATATCCCCAGAGCCCCACCTGAAAGGCATTTGAATGACCTGCCAGTATCACACCTGGGGGGCTTTTCACCTGAGGTCTTGAAGCAGTATCCCAAGGTGGGATACAGCCTTTCTCCAGTAGCACTTCTGTCCACTCAAGGTTCCCTTTTCTTTCTATTTTTTTAAAATTATAAAAGTAATACAAGCTTACTTAGAGTTTACAATCCAGTGGAGGAGACGGATTTTAAAAAGTAAGCAAAGACAACATTTACCCGTTTACAGGGAGTGCCGTGAGGTGGACAGTCATGGTGGTTGGGGCAGGGAACCTTCACTAGGCAGGTTGGACAGGCTTGTTTGTGCAAGAGAAATTACGAACTGATACCTGAAGATTGAGAAAAATCCAAGAACAGGGAAGAAGAGCACGTGCAAAGGTCTTGGGTGGGAGAGAGCTTGTTAAGTTGAAAGTCACGAAGTGTGGCTAGATTGGCATGCACTGGAGGGGTGTGCGTGGAGTGGGTTTGGAAAGGATCACAGTCCCTGATAACACAGCGTCCTGTAGGGCATCGTAGGGATTCTCATTCTGTTCTGAGCACAGTGGGGAGATAAAGAAGGATTATTAAGCAGGGAAGTGATGAGGCCTGATTTATATTTTGTGTTTCTGTTTTAAGAAGACTATCATTATTGCTACATGCAGAATGGTTTGAAGCAAACAGGGAGGGAAGCTGGGAGACCTCTTGGGAGACTGGTACAGGCAGCTGGGTGAGAGGTAACAGTAGCTTAGATTCTGGTGGTGGCAAGAGAGATTGAAGAATCTAGGCCCATGCTGGTGGTGGCAAGAGAGATGGAAGAAAGCAGGCCCACGTGGCTACTGAGCACTTGAAGTGTGCAGGCATTAAAGATGTGGTACAAAAAAAACCCAAAGAATGTGAAATATCTCACTATTACTTTATCTTGATTACTTGTTGAAATAATAATATTTTGGATATTTCATGTTAAATAAGTATAATTAAAAATTATCTTTCTTTTACTATAAAAATGTGGCTACTAGAAAAATGTAAATTATGTATTAGTAGCTTGCACCTATGAGTCACATTATGATTTTATTGGACAGTGCTGATAAAGACAATAGTTGCCAAATTAAAAAGTACTTTTATAGTAAATTTACATTGGATACATAGAAATTTCTAGCTAGAAATAAACTTTTTTTTTGGCCCACAGAAGATGTTTATTTGGTATAACAATGCAGCTAATGTTTGTTCTAACCACAAAGAATAAAAAGAATAAAAGGCTTGACAATGTACATAAAAAACCAAGGTGTTTAGTGTGACAAAAATAGTGCTCCTAAAATTTCTCAATAATTAGTTATTGAAAACTGTATGAAAACAGAAGGATGTTAGTAGCAACAGAGTACATAAAACCAAACATATAATATTGAGCAAATTAACATATGAGGCGACTTTGCTAACAATGCATGATTTCCTCCCCCTTGTTTATACTGTGTTCAGACTACCTTTATACCAACAGAATGGGCAGAACACTTTGGTTTAATATCAGTTACACAACATTAGCATAAACTTGGACCACTACCGATAGGAGGCTGTTTTCTTTTGAGTGGGCAAAGTAACCACACAAACATCAGATCCCTTCTCTGAACTGAGAATTTTATCCCAATCATTGCCATCTACCATCCACACATGTATTTCATAATATATTCAAAATTTTATGTAATATATATTTGGTGATTTTGGATTTAAAAAGACTAGCTTATTGAGATTTTATTATCTTTAAAAAAGTACACTTCAGTGTGGAGTGAGGCTGCTTATAGTAGGACTGATAGCATATTCCAGAGCAACATGTTTGCATAATGGGAAGAGTGCTGGGCTTTAGAGTCAGAAGAATTTGGCTGGACTTCTGCATAAAGTGTGAACTTGGACATTATGTCAACTCTCCGAACCTCACTTCCTTTTCTATAAAATGAAGATGAGCTATGCAGCTCATCCCGTAGCCTACACCCTACGTGGTTGCTGCTGCTGCTGCTAAGTCGCTTCAGTCGTGTCTGACTCTTTGCGACCCCACAGACGGCAGCCCACCAGGCTCCCCCGTCCCTGGGATTCTCCAGGCAAGAACACTGGAGTGGGTTGCCATTTCCTTCTCCAATGCATGAAAGTGAAAAGTGAAAGTGAAGTCGCTCAGTCGTGTCCGACTCTTTGCGACCCCACGGACTGCAGCCCACCAGGCTCCTCCGTCCATGGGATTTTTCCAGACAAGAGTACTGGAGTGGGGCGCCATTGCCTTCTCCAACCCTACATGGTAGGTATTGTTATTTCTTTTGTTCAGGAGAAGAAACTGAAGTTCAGAAAGGGTAAGCGGGGGCTTCCCGGGTGGTCCAGTGGGTACGAATCTGCCTGCCAATGCACGGTTCGAATCCGGGTCCTGGAAGATCCCACAAGCAGCAGAGCAACGAGACCCCCTCCTCTCCCCGCGGACCCCCACGCCCCCCAACAAACACGTACACCTACTGAGCCCGGCCCGCGAACGGCAGCTACGAAGCTCGCTCACCTAGAGACACGCTCTGCCGCAGGAGAAGCTGCAGTCCCTGCAATGAGAAGCCCACGCACCGCAACTAAAGAAAGCCCGAACGGAGAAAGGGAAGCCCAGCACAGCTATAAATAACAAAACTTCCTTTTTTTTTTTTTGGTAACATCTTTTTTTTTCCTTTTCCATTTATTTTTATTAGTTGAGGCTAATTACTTTACAACATTGCAGTGGTTTTTGTCATACATTGAAATGAATTAGCCATGGATTTACATGTATTCCCCATCCCCTAATTTGCATGCCCACCTCTGAAATTAGTAGGGAGGTCAAATTAGATTGGTGAATGGGCTTTGGGAAAATGTCATAAAATATGCAAATGGAAGAGATGATTCAACCTCAGTGAAACAACAGGAGCATAAACAGAAGCTACAGATAAACACAAGCTACTGCAAGAGGTCTATGTATCTGTTTAAATGAAATGGTTGTCGCGTGTTGCTTGGTCAAATTCAAGCTCTGAAAGTCATATGACAGAGGGATAATTTCCTTCCTCAGGATGAAAATTTATAGGAATTCAGAAGAAAATATTTTGGTGATCATAGTAAAAGCTTCGAGTCAGATGAGTTTCGCATCATGCTGTGAGCACTGTGTTTGGGCCGGATGTGGCTTCCTTCAAGTAGGCGTGCTCTCTGTGGGGGGATTCATTCTGCGACAGGCAGAGAGCGGACCCGGCAGGATGAAGGGGTTCTTTGTGCTTGTGCTGTCTCTCACCTTGCTGATTTTCTTCTCAGGTGAGCATTAACTCCTGAAACCTATGTCTATGCTGACAAGATAAACTGGAATAAAGCTATTTTATATTTTTAAGTATTTTTTCATAATTTCAAATAATATGTAATACATAATAATTCAATGCTTCTTTTTTTTTTTTCCTTAAGAGTAGGCTCCCAGAATTGCTATCATAAGGGATAAATAATTTTTTTTAATATTTAAATGCATTTGAATACTAATTCTCAAAAATGCTGATCAATCTTAAAATTTGACATACATTTTTTTCACTTGTTTTTTGGCTGTGCTGCCTGGCTTGTGGGATCTTAGCCCCCTTGACCAGGGATTGAACCTGGCGTTCCCTGCAGTAAAAGTGGGAGTCCTAACCACTGAACCACCAGGGAATTCCCTTGATATACTTTTATTAGAATAATAATTTTTAGAGTTTGTGTGTTATTATCAAAACTTGATTTACTTTAATTATTATATTATAATATCTGATTTGAGGGATCATGCATGCTTACCAAGTTTAACAGAATCTTCTTGTCATGGGGGAACCTTCCAGTAACAATTTAAACTTGATTTAGTGTGTTGAGGCTTTGAAAGAATCTCCCCAAAGCAACCCTGAGGGATAAGAAACACACTGGCCAGAGACCTGAAGAAAATGTGTTTAAAGAAACATATCCATTAAAGTAATGGCCACTTTTAGAGGACTGGGTCATTGCAGCAGGTAAATAAGTTTTAGTTATGCAGCCTTAGCCATCTTAGGAACAATTAAAAATTCCTCTCTGAGCCTTTGGGAAAGAAAGCCCAGCCCTCTGAGACAGGTCCCTGTGAAAGAACTTTTGTGTGCCGACCCAAATTGGACTTGCAAATGCTTGGCCTTGGACGGCGAGATGGCGCGTGGATGGGGGTGCCTGAGGTCCCTTCCTGACTTTTTCAGGGGCTTCTCCGATTCTGACGGAAAAGCAGGCCAAGCAGCTCCTGAGATCCCGGCGCCAGGACAGGCCGAGCAAACCCGGGTTCCCCGATGAGCCCATGCGGGTGAGTTCCAGGCAGGCTCTGGGCTGTCTGGAGGGAGAGGGAGGTGGTAGGAGTGCTTGCTCATTGTGAAACCAAACAAGCTGGTCCTCTGAGCCCAGGGAGGGCGTTAGATGGAGCCTCTATAGAGTCTCAGGTGCAGGGTGATCACCGTCTCCTCACGCCTTTCTCTTCCAGCGGTGCCAGCCCCACTCCCCTGCTGTTCACACAGGCTTTAAATGGAAACAGTTCAGCCCCCACTGGGGGTCCAGGATCCCGAGTAGGCTGTCGGGCGGCTCCTCTGAACAGGACGCTTTGGAGCTGTGCCCCGAGGCTGGTGTCAATCCCATCTTCTCCCTCTTGCCCTGGGCCCCAGGCAGGCTGGCCCAGCAACCCCGACAAGTGACGATGCTCTGTCTGGGCAAGGCAGGATCTCTGTCCTGCTGCCACCAGCTTCTGCCCTCACCCCATGCCTCTGATTTCAGGCTGGGGCCTTGGCTCTGCCCTGTAGGTCCATGGTGTCCGCCTAGTTTTTCTGAACCAGGAGCCGTGCTCCTGCCTTCATTTTGTGACTTGTGCTGGGTGCTACAAGACCCTGCCACCCTGGCTTGTCTTGCCTTCCCATGACGGAAGTGCTGACGTTCCCAGTCTTATTTTATCCCACTCAGGTAAAGGTAAGAGCTTCCCAGGTGCCTCAGTGGTAAAGAATCTGCCTGTCAAGGCAGGAGACGCTGGTTCCATCCCTGGGTCGGGAAGATCCCCTGGAGAAGGAAATGGCAACCCACTCCAGTATTCTTGCCTGGAAAATTCCATGGACGGAGGAGCCTGG